AATAACTTCATGTGAAATTAACACTAATAAAATGTGACAATAAGATCACTTTAATAATTGTCAAGAAAAAAGACAAATAAAAATAGAAAAACTGAGATTTTGTTTAAATGATTGTGTGCATTGAAAATTAAAGAATATTGAAGTTAGTTACTAATTACTATATACTTGTTAAATTAACAAAGTTTGAATACTTTTTCCTTGTTTTGTGGGGCCAACAAACACAATTCAAAAAAAGAAAAGGAAACCATTACACTTAACAGTCCAAGATACTTATGTGAGATGGGAGTTATAAACGGTGTTAGTGTGGTGTTAGGGGAGGGAGGTAAATGTAATGTAAAGTTAAAGTAGAGAAAGATCTATGGTATGGTTTGGAGGAGTAGAGGGAGGACTTTGAACGAAATGTAAGTATGGGGAGAACAATGAATGAAAAATAAAAGTAAAGGAACTATAATTGGCTTTAACCCTAATGGATGTTAGGGTAGTAATCGGTGTTAGTAACATTGTTAGGTGAGGGAGGTAACTAGTATGACAATTGAAAGTAGAGAGAGGATAGTAATATGTTTTGGGAGAGTAGAGGGAGGTCTCTGAATGATTTCAAAGTATAGGGAGGACAATGAATAAAAAAGGAACGTAGAGGGACTATAGTTGGCTTTAACCCTAAAAAAATATTCCCCTTCGAGAAATTTAGAAATTTGAGATTTGAGTTGGTATTGAGTTTAAATTTACTTGACGCTAGAATAAAGGGAAAAAAAGTTCGCTGTTCATGTCTAACACGTGACCAGTCACCATTTATGACCTACTTTGAGTTCATTTATGCAGCACAAGAAATTAAGGGGCTTACTTATAAGAACATCAATAATAATAATAACTGTGAGGATTTAACGGGTGATATATATTGAGGGAATCGTAGGGCTGATTTTTTTTTTTTTTCCAAAAGAGAAAATAGGTAAATGTAAATTTTATCATTGGAAGATGATTTTACCATCAACCAAACTATTAGCAGTGTTTTCTCAAAAAAAAAAAAATTAATATTGCTTAACTATTACCTGTTAGGTGTGCACACCATTAACCCTTGGAAAATATATAGATGCAAGATGAAATCAACAAGACTACCAATACCCAAGTTGTAGTGTCAACACACCAAGCACTTTTAATTTTTCTTAAAGTATTTTCGTTGATAGTTTCTATTTCTAGAATCTTATTAATGATTATTATATCTTCACTACAGATTATATTTTTACCCACTGTATTGAGTAAATACATGTTAATCGAATTTATTTGTTCATTATTCATATTAATTTTAATAAACCAACTATTTCTCTCAATTTATTAATTTTTTGTTTTCTAAATCTAATCTATTTATTATATAATGCTATAATAGAGTTTATTTTTCCATTTTCTTGTCTCAACTCAACTAGTTGATTTTCTTTCTTTTCTGCTAGGACTCTCCCTTCAGATTGTGCTACTTGCTCAATTTGATGACAAATATCTAGTATTATTCTTGTATTTGTGACAATATCTCCCATGAGGATTTTCTTGGGGTCTAATTATTGTCTTATGTTCTACTTGAGGACTAGTTCTTCAATTTTTTAACTTTGTCTAACGTCACTTAACGGCTCCAGTTACTCTAGGGGCTGATTTGTTTCTGATTTTTGAGTATAAGGGGTGTTTTATTTCCGTTGTTGGTTTGAGGGCTTATATGCCATCATATGGCCGGTTTAGGGGCTTTTTTGCACCTTTTGCCTTCTGTCCATCGCAGCTGATTTCTCGAAGTTTTGAATCGATCGGCTCTGGTTCAGGCAAGTAAAGCTTCCTTGTTAGCTGAATTTGTTGTTTTCAATTTCTGTGATTCAATGCACTCTACCTATTCTACTCGTTTCTTGAAAATCCGATTGCAGGTGATTTTCTGAAGCTTAGAATCGATTTTTCCTCTTTTTGTGTTCGAATCCAATGATTCGATTCGTTCTAGAATTTTTCCTGTATGGTTTTGAAACTCATTTCTAGAATTTTTTGCATTTTTTAGAATTCACAACTTAAATTTTAATAATAATTAAGAACATATAGAATCTTGCAACTGCTTTCTATTTACATGGTTCCATGCGTTTTTACTTTGTGTTATGATTTCAAAACTTGTCCCATTTTGTAGAATCCATAACTTAAATTCACATAGGAGCGTCTAATTTGATTGTAGGGTTAAAGGTTGCAGGAGAGTGCTCATGGATCGGCTCAGTGCTTCTGCACGTTCTATGATAGTTTCTGATCTTGATCATACAATGGTCGGTTTCATAATTTCTTGCTTCACTTCGGAGTGATATCGTGCTCGTATTGCTATTAGTTACTTTAATTGGACATGGTGCTCTTTCTGCTGGTGGAAATAAAAAGTCCTTGGTAGTTTGGAGTGTTGGCTGATGGATTAACTTGAATATAGGTATAGATAGAAGTATATAGCTTTTATTGTGAAATTTAGGAAAGCAAATTTATCCTAAAATAATAAACTGATAAGTGAAGGAAACTTTTAGCTTAAATGCTTGACCTAAATGTGCTTTATATAGCTGTACCTAGAATCAGTTGTAGGACTATGTTACATTTTAGATCTACTTTGACTGGAACCTATTGACATTTTTTGCATCAACTTCTATTGATTTTCTTTATCTAATTAATCTACTATGAAATGTTATTTCCATTTTTCATTTCTTGTTGGAATACTTTATGATCTATGTTCAAAAAGAATCACCCTTTTAATTCTTCTTTCTTCAGGATCCATCTGCTGTAACTGTCCATCCATCTGGTGTTGAGAAAACTCTACATGAACGCATACATGAAATGAAAGGGTGGTATGGAGACAAGCAGGGAAAAAAGCTTCGGGTTTGGGTGGATCGTGTATTATCTACACAGATTGGTTCAAGCACATGGTTGGTGAATTTCAATAAGTGGGAGCAGCAAGGTGAGATTTCTTTATATGTTCGTCTATATCTGCTCAATCTTTGTGTCTTTTTAATTTAAACTAGATGTCATATCTGTGCTAATTTATTTACCTTTCTTGCATTCATCTCTTTGTGGATATGGTAGTAAATGTCTGTCCAACTTAGAAGACAGCAATAGGAATTTGCATGTGAACATAATTGCCTTCGAGCCTTTGATTTCCCTTTTAGTATATTTATATAGAGGCCAATCCACGGAGGTTCTTAACCTGATAGATGCTGCTTTATAGCAGAAGATTGTTTTAAACCTTGTCAAAGACTTGGATGTCATAGCATTTCAAGAATCCCAAGACTACAATGCCAAGGGTTAACTTGTCATCCAAATGCTTCATTTTACATATTTTCCTTAGGAAAAAAGGAAAAGAAAACATTTTCAAATTCAGATGTTAGCTATCACTCGTAATATAAGTATACATCAGAGGCTAATTATAAGGTAACTCATACTTAGGACTATTACCAACAGTTGGCTTTTCTACTTATATTCTTATGCTGACTTTTGTAGGTGACGTGCGGTGTTGTTGTCCAGCCGGTGGAAAGCTAGAAAATTATTTGAAATGATTTGCTTAGATGATTGATTTGTGGATTTCAGGAGGGCGATGCATGGTTCACATGGGTTCACTTGGATGCATGTACAATAGACGTGGCTGCAAGGATTGAAAACGGAAGACCATTCAGACTTCTGTTCTAGATTGATATCAGATGCTATCCCTTACCTTTTCAGCTCTGGAGTATTCAATATTCAATTGAAGTAAATGTACTAATGATGTTAATATTTCGTTTCTTATGCAAGGATCAAATCCTAAAGCTTTGTTTGGGTTGAAAGTATACACAAGTCCAATTATAGTATACCACCAAAGTTCATCCAATATAGCTAATAACTTGAATTTGAATGCTAATGATGTTAATATTTCGTTTCTTACGCAAGGATCAAATCCTAAAGCTTTGTTTGAGTTGAACGTATACACAAGTCCAATTATGGTATACCACCAAAGAGTCCATCCAATACAGCTAATAACTTGAATTTGAATAAGGATCATTAAGATAAAAGTGAGCTTTTCTAATATTTGGGGATTCATGGATCAAAAATCAATCTGCATATATAACACATTGGTTCAAAAGGGCTCACCAAATACCACATTCAACTAGTGTTCTTCTCTCTCTCTCTCTAATAAAAGGGAAAATAATCAAACTCAAAAATAAATCAGCAACTAACTAGAATAAAAATTATTACATCCATGAAATCAAGACACTAGATTTTTTAATGTTAAAAATCCTTGAGGAGAAGAATCACAGGATCTAGTCTAGTAAAAACCATCCAATATAAAAATAACATTATTACAAAGCTTCATCTACTCTAAGAAACACTAGAGGTTGTACACATCAATAAATAATCAACAATAAATTGTTGGATCACTGACGTCATGATCATCACCAAAATAAAGCTTGAAGTCAAAATCTCCAATCAAATTGGAAATCTCATTGTGCTGAGTGTGCACCAAGAGGAATTGGAAACCAAATCACTATTGATCATCTAGTAGAACCGTAACTCCTCTACTAACCTTCTTGCTGCTGTTGCAACTCACTCTCCCTGTCTCTCTACTGTTTTTGCAGTGTTGATCAAAACCAGCCACCAGTCGTTATTTAAAGCTCCACTGACTTGTTACATTCAAAGTCCAATCTCAAGCAATTCATGTATGCGTTCATGAAGAGTTTTCTCAACACCAAATGGATGGATACATACAACAGAAGAATCCTAAAGAAATAAGAAACTAAAATGGTTGGTTAACATAGTTCAGTTTGGCATAAATTAGCCTAAGAATAAGTTCTCCTACAACTAATAACTTGGTTTAAAATTTTAAAATTTGTGCATGTTAAGGGATAAAAATGTGACGATGCACCTTGAAATGGTTTGTGCATAACACTGCCTCGAAGCTTCACACCAACCACCTTTATATATATCCTCAAATTGTCCTTAATTTAGGGAATTGATCAAGGGAAGTTACTAGAAAAACTCAAAGAAAATCCATGCCCTGCAAAAATGAATTAAAGCTTAGTAATATCTTGATGAAATGATAGAGAATCTCTCCGCACAACTGAGGGATGAGAAAGTGAATTCTGCCTTACCAAAGAGGGCATTCTTTGGAGGGTAGAGGATTACAGCTTCAAGCCTGCAACTATGACAGATTTGTTAACACCATTTTTAATAAAGTTGTTAGATGATGAGTTTAATTTTTATATGGATTTATCTATCCTTTTTGAGCCTAGAAATTAATATTATGGGTCCTTTGTAACTTAGTTTCACCTTTGTTTATATTAATTTTATTATTTGTAGGTGGAAATTAAGATAGGAATTAATTTTGCAATAAGTGACAATTTGCACATACTGCAGTAATTTAATCATATCTTTTTCTCTAGGTATCGGATTGAGTTGATTCTTTAGGCGTTGGAAAGCTAAGAGGCAGAGCTACAATTGATGTTTTATGAGTTCAACCCAGTTCCTTCTGTATCAATACAGAATTGAAATTGAAAGTGACGGTTTTGACAACACAGTGCAGAAATAAAGAGACTGGGTTTATGTTTTTTTAAGTGTGGGCCAATTGCAATCCAGGCCCAAAACAAAGCCCATAACCCATGTCTGCTAGGGTTAAAGGAATTAAGGGTTCTAGGTTCTAATTTCTTGATATATATAGAGGCTACTCGGCAGAAACCAAAAAGAGGAGAGACGCAGAGCCACACAGACGGGAAAGGAGAGGAAGTTGTTCTGCGCAAGGTCAAGAGAACCCAGCCGCCCAAAATCCCAGCACCCGCCTCTGTTGTTTACCAGCAGCAGAAGAGGACAGCCGCCGCCCAGCCTTGCTCTTCTCCGCCCAGCCACGCTGCCGCCCAGCCTTCTTGGGAGATCCCGACCACAGCACTTCGGCAAACTGCAATTCTCCGTTTGGGTTTTGTTGTTTCTGATTTCTTTTTATTATGATTTTCTGTTGGGATTTATTATTTTTCATGGTTGTTGAGAATATAAACATGTGTGGCTAGATTTCTTTGAACTAGGGATGGATAGATTTTAATTTTTGAAGTATGTGACTGTTTTTGTTAGTTTAATTCAAGATTTATTGGTTATTTGCATGATGAGTTTATATTATTGAACTTAATGCATTGAGAGCTTGATCACCTTTCAATTGATTTAGTGATTTATGCATGAACTTGAGAAAGAATTGTGTAGATTAGACCAATAATAATATAAACCGTGTGCTA